GAGACTGAGGCCGGGGACCCACCGCCTCACCTCAGAAAGTCATCTGAGTTTTCTACTCTTCACGGGAAACGAGATTATGATTTATTCAAAGTGTTTGCGTTATTTTGGGCCAATCCCAACTACCCACTTCAATCTGTTCATTTTTCAAAGTTTATGTGGGTTTTAGCATTTGATTTAGAATACTATTCATATTGTAAAATAAAATGTGACAATCTATAAAAATATAACCCACTTAAAAATAGGAATGAAGAAGACTGCCAGTTGAAGTGTTATGCTAAATAAGTTTACTCAATGTAAAGTGTCTCAACGCTTGCATTTTTAATGATTCATTAAGGGAAAGCTACTGAATTTTACAATGTTCACACTTTGACTAAAACGATCATACAACTCTACTTTCTAAAATGATGCTACTTATGAAATACTGAATCTGTATCAGTTTCTTATTTCTACTGTAAAAAAATGACCACAAACCTATTGGTTTAAAACAACAAATGCATTATTGTACACTTCTGCAGGTCAACATCTGAAATAGGTCTTGAGGGGCTGAAATCAAGGTGTCACTGGGGATGTGTCCCTTCTGGAGGCTCCAGGGAAGAAGCCATCTCTTGCCTTTCCCAATTCCTGGAGGCTGCCAAGACACACTAGTGATAACCCAGACCAACACCGACATTTTCAATGAAATCCCCCAAAACTAGTTCTTTGGCTCCTGGCCACATCACTCTGACCTCTGCCTGTCATCACCTCTCCTTCTCTGACTCCAACCCTCCTGCCTCCCCCTTACGAGAACACTAGTGATTATACTGGGCCCACCCAGGTCATCCAGGATAACGTCCCCATCTCAAGATCCTTAACTTAATCACATCCACAAAGTCCTTTTGCCATGTAAGGTAACATAGTGGCAGCGTCCAAGGATAGGACATAGACGTCTTTGGGGAGCTGTTATTCTACCTACCACAAAATTCATTACAAATAGGGGAGGTTTTCCTGTATTTCATCTAATCTGAGAGTATTTAGGAAGCTGTATCAATTAATATTGATCCAGAAGTTGTTACTGGTTTTCAATTATGAGGGGAGAGTCCTGTCACTCCAAGGAAACATTGACGAGCGGATACGATGTCAGTCCCAGACACTGCTCAAGCCCAGCCTGCCTGCGATGGGAAAAGAACAGCTTGAAAGATTTGTTCCTTGTTTTGGTTCCCAGAAAACCCACAATGCTAAAAACATGCAGACAAAATCAATTCATCAGGAAAAGAAGTGACAGTAACAGGTAAGAGACACTTAGGGAAATGGTATATTATTACAATAAGAAAAAATCTGATATAAAACAGATGTCTTTGCCAACCCATCTGTGTGCGCCATGCCCTTGCGACCCTCCAATGTCCTGTATGTATTCTTTCTTTGGCCTCCTTCCCTGCAGCTACTTGCTGTCTACGTGTCCTACAGCTGACAGCTGCACACTCCAAGCTAAAATAAATAACCCGCACTTCCGGTCAAGATGGCAGGTAGGTAAACGCGGTATTGCGTCCTCCCACAACCACATCCAAGTTACAACTAAACTACAGAACAACCATCATTCAAAACTGCCTGACATCAAGCTGAATGGAAGTCCTACAACTACGGAATTAAAGAAGCAGCATCGAGACTGGTAGGAGGGGCGACGGCGAGACGGCTGTGAGACGGGCTGGTCCCACGCCCACAATCAGGAGGACACCTCGGCTGGGAAGGTCCTTCCTGAGGACTGAGGGGTCCCCGTCCCACACTAGGTGCCCCGCTCAGGGTTCCAGTGCCAGGAAGAGAATCCCCATAACTTCTGGCTGGAAAAACCAGCAGGAACTGAGGCTCAGGGAAGCTGAGGTGGCTGAAGCCCCAGGCAGCTCCTTAAAGGGCCCGCGCATGGACTTATCGGACTCTCTCCCTCTAAGCTCGGAGGGGAGGCAGCTCGAGGGGCACCAGAGACATACAGGGAAGAACTGAGCTGTTTGGCACTGGAGTGAGCGCTGGAGATGGGGCTTTCTCCAGGACAAACGTGCTGTCAGAGGCCTTTAAGGTTCCTTTGGTGAGCCCTTCCCTGGGGCGGCAGACAGTGGCCATATCTGGGACTCCAGCAACCTGGCTCACACTGGTAGCCCCGCCCTGGTGACTCCCTGAGGCCCCGCCCCCCCCACCCAACTTTCAGGCCCACCCAACTTTCAGGCCCACCCAAGCTGTTGGTACTTGCTTAACCATAGGATTGGCCGGTCTTGGATCCTGCTTCAGGTTTTTCCTAAATTTTTTCAAATGAGCAGCATCTGGTCTCAGCTAGCCCCATACCGCTCGTTAAGTAATACACAGAAACAAACACAGGGAGGCAGCCAAAATGAAGAGACAAAGAAACAGGTCCCAAATGAAAGAACAGAACAAAACCCCAAAAAAAGAACTAAGCGAAAATGGAGATAAGCAACCTAACAGATGTTGAATTCAAAATACTGCTTATAAGGATGCTCAATGAACTCAGTGAGGCCCTCAAGAGCATAAAAAAGGACCAGTCAGAAATGATTGATGCACAGTTAGAAACGAAGGAGGCTTTAACTGAAATAAAGAATAATTTACAAAGATTCAATAGTACAGTACGTAAATCCAAGAAGCAAACCATTGATTTGGAATATAAGAAAGCAAAAAACGCCCAATCAGAACAGCAAAAAGAAAAAATAATCCAAAAAAATGAAGAGAGTGTAAGGAGCCTCTGGGACAACTTCAAGCGTGCCAACATTTGCATCTTGGGGGTGCCAGAAGGAGAAGAGAGACAACAAGAAATTGAAAACCTGTTTGAAACAATAATGGCAGAAAACTTTCTTAACTTGGTGAAGGAAACAGACATACAAGTCCAGGAAGCACAGAGAGTCCCAAACAAGATGAACCCCAAGAGGCCCACACCAAAACACATCATCATCAAAATGCAAAAGGTTCAAGACAAAGAGAGAATCTTAAAAGCAGCAAGAGAAAGGCAGCTAGTTACCTACAAGGGAGTTCCCATTAGGCTGTCAGCTGATTTCTCAAAAGAAACTTTGCAGGCCAGAAGGGAGTGGCAAGAAATATTCAGAGTGATGTAAAGCAAGAACCTACAACCAAGATTACTCTATCCTGCAAAGCTGTCATTTAGAATCGATGGCCATATAAAGAGTTTCCCAGACAAGAAAAAGTTAAAGGAGTTCATCACCACCAAACCGTTATTATATGAAACGATGAAGGGTCTTTTTGAAGAAAAAGATAAAATATATGAACAAACCAAATGGCAATTAATACATATCTATTGACAATGGAATCTACAAACAAAATGAACAGGTAGAACAGAAACATTCTCATAGATACAGAGAACATTTTGCTGGTTGCCAGATGGGAGGGGGGTTGAGGGAATGGGTGAAAAAGGTGAAGGGATTAAGAAGTACAAATTCATTGCTAGACTGACAAACCTCAAAGGGAAAGGGATTGGGGGGGGTGGGAAGAAATAAACCAAAGAACTTATATGCATAACCAATGGACACAGACAATAGTGTGGGGAAAGGCAGGAGGGGGGCGAGAGTGGGGAGGGAGGGGTCAATGGGGGAAAAATATGGAACATCTGTAATACATTCTACATTCAACAATAAAGATTTTTAATAAAATAAAATAAATAACCCTTTCTACATCTCTGCTCTGCCCTCTTATAACCTACTTCTATTGTAGAAACCCTCCCTGCACCGTTTATGAAACGGGCTCTGCTTTAATCAAGAAAAGGCACTGTCTCATTTTTTTTTCTGGGTTCCAAATGCCATGCAAAGTTCCAGGAATGTAGTAGGTGCTCAGTTAAATTTGTTAGAAAAATTAATTAACCATATCTAAAAGACATTTCATCCAAGACTCCGATAAAGGAGAAAAGATGGCTTTAAACATCCTCACGCATGTTTCTTTAGTTCTAGAGATTATGAAAAGGATTCCTCTTCTGATTGCAAACCTTTAAAGGTTTTACCAATTCCAGTTTGAGCTTTAAAAAAAAAGAGCTTGTTTTTAAGCTACCCAATCACAACATATGCAGACCCTGCGACTTGCTATTCCATACTCCTTTGAATGCCCTCACCCTTTCTCAGCACTGATTTAAAAAAGTTTTTATGGGAGGAGAAGAGAACAATCTCTAACGAATGAGACAGAACAAGATTCTAAATTAGAAGTTTCAACCAGGCACCAAGACCCACTAGTGATAACCCAGACCAACATCTACATTTTCAATGAAATCCCCCAAAACATGACTCCTACACTTAACTTGTTGCTTAGGTTTAAGACCAACCTGTTAAAGATAAAGAGAATCTCAGAGAAGGGGTTTTCTTTGCAGAAGAGGCCACTTTACCTCAGGTCAAGAGAGTGAGGCCTCAAGGAATCACCCAAAGCCTAATAGTGTCCCTTCCAAAAAAGCCAGAAGAAGACAGTGCCAAGTGAGGGTCAGCCTGCAGCCACAGTGTCTCCCGGAAAGCACAGGCCACCCGCAAGAGAGAGCAGGGTTGTCTGGACACTGACCGCGAAGATGAGGCTGTATCTGACAAGGGGATGCAACCACAAGGAAGAACAGAAACCCCATCACACTAGAATTTCCCCTGGGAAGTAAATTCTAAAAGGACAAAGAGGGACAAAACACATCTGTTTTCTGACTCCAGACTGTTCACACTGCTGGTTAAGCATCCTGGGTACACATATTCCCTCCCCATTTGGAAGTCCTCCCAAAGCCTAGCGCTGCCCTCCGGCTGGAAAGGAAAAATGGAATTCCTTCCAAAGATCAGGTAACTACGGTCTCAGTGAGCAGGCGGAGACTGTTCGGAGACTGGGAATTTAAGAGCATTTAATATAAACACTGGAAGAAAAATCTGATAGGCTTTCCCCAAATGAACCATAAACACAAAAAACAGAAAGTCCATTTTGCTCCATAATCAATGTCACCTTAGAAACGTAAAGGAAGGGGCGGGAGCAGGGAAGGGAAAGCCCATGGCTCTTACCCAGGCCCTGATTCTGCTGCTCCCACTCCATGGCATCTGGCACCTGGTAGGTGGCTCCCTCCAGAAGGTCCACGTTTTCCTGCTCTAAGCCAGGTTCCTGGGATGTGACGCCAGGGAGGGTAAACCCACGCAGCTCAGCGTCTCCATCCAAGCTCTCGTCCAGGGAGTCTGCATCTTTATCTTCTTCGTCTTCCTCCTCATCTTCCTCTTCCTCGTCTTCCTCTTCCTCGTCTTCTTCGTCCTCATCTTCTTCTCCCTCTGGACAAATGAAAATTAATGAGAAACATGAAGAAATACAGTGACTGGGAAGGAATCTTTTTTTCAAACATGTTTTTATTGATTTGAGAGAGAGAGAAACAAACATGCACACCCTGACCGGACTGAACCTGCAGCCTGGGCATGTGCCCTGCCTGGGAATTGAACTGGTGACCTTTTTGGTGCAGAGGACAACACCTGGGGCCAAGTGAATCTTTTAAATGACCTAAACACTACAAAATAATCATGCTTGGCCTTTTAAAACAAATTTTCTGGCCAGGTTGAGCAATGTGAGTTTTGTGGAATTTTGTGCCCATAATTATTTTTAATTTTTTTATTGAACTTATTGGTGTGACGTTGGTTAATAAAAGTAGATAGATTTTCAGTGTATAGCTCTATAATACGCCATCTGCATATTGTACTGTGTGTTCACCACTCAAAGTCAAGTCTCCTTGCATCACTATTTACCCCTCCTCTACCCTGTCCTCCCTCCCTCACCCCTCCTTCCCTCGGTAATCACCATGTTGTTATCTGTGTCTGTGAGCTTTTTTGGTTTTGTCTTGCTTAATCCCTTCACCTTTTTCACCCTGCTTCCAACCCCCCTCCCCTCTGACAACTATCAGTCTGTTCTCTGTATCTATGAATCTGTTTCTTTTTTTTTTTTTTTTTAGTTTATTTTGTTCATTAGATTCCACAAATAAGTGAGATCATGTAGTATTGTATTTCTCTGACTGGCTATTTCATTTAGCATAATGATCTTCAGATCCATTTATGCTGTAGATAAATGTAAGATTTTCTTCTTTTGTATGACCGAGTAGTATTCCATTGTGTAAATGTACCACAGCTTTTTATCCACTCATCTACTAATATGTGCCCATCATTTACCTACTTTTTAAATAACAACTATGTCAGATAATTATTATGCATCATGTTTATTTGGAGTCAAAGTTCTGGTAACATGAATTTTTTTTTGGCCATATTTATATTTACAAGGATAGGAAACAACCCCTTCCTGTTTTCTGGAGGTCATTAAAGATTGATCCACTGGGAAGCACACTGAAATGCTAACTGAGTTTAAAGGGCATGTCCCAATCTCTTTCTATCTTATAATACTAAATAAGAGAATTCATTATTTTAATACAATTTTCTTTTCATTCTTCTTCTTTTTTTTTTTTTTTTTTGTACATGCCCCTAGTGGGAACCGAACCCAGGGCAACAATCCAACCGCTGAGCCAAACCGGTCAGGGCTCTTTTCATTCTTCTTCCACATCAGGGAGCAGAATGCACAACCATGTTAAGTGAGAGGTACCTAAATCCACTCCTAAAACTGTTCTCTTACAGAAAAGTGTCCCAAGAAAGTTAAGACAATTCCATCAACATTCTAGTCCAATGCAGTGGGGATTGGGAGACCAGATATCGAGTAAGAACACTCGGAAAAGCAACAGGGTTGAAAAATCATTTTTGTTACTCTCATCATAAGAGTTAAGTCACGATTTGCCATTTTCAATGCTTTAAGTGGAGTAGGTTTTAGGAACGTAAGATCTCCAATTTCATTTTGTTTCACCAATTTTAATTTTCTAGGAATACTGTGAGGCCCCACCCTCACTATGGATGGACTCCTGAAGCTACCGAGGAATTCTGACTCTCCTTGGAAACAATTTTTCCCAAACTTATCCCTTTTCATCCATCATTTAGAGTAGTGTTTTTGTTTTATTTTTTTCACTTGTGTGTGTGTGTGTGTGTGTGTGGTACGTGCCCTTAGCAGGAACCGAACCCAGGACTCTCTGGTCCGCAGGCCGACGCTCAATCGCTGAGCCAACCTGGCCGGGCTTTTGTTTTTTTCACTTTTAAAAAAGTATTATATCTAATCTTTTTCATTCCTATCATTTAACTTTGCAGGACTAACACGTGCCACTATTCCAAAGATTCAACACATATCTATCAAGCACCTGGTTCCAGGCGCTAGGAACAGAGCAATGCCTCTGCCTTCGTGGAGCTGACACACCACTCAAGGCAACGCACCATGAACAGACAGACAGATGATACAAATTACACTCTGATTAAAACTGGCAAAAAGATAGAAAGTGCCAGGTGTTCTATTGTGGATGGAGAGGTCAAGGAAAGCTTTTCTGATAAGGGCAAGTTTGGAAAGAAATCATACCAAAATAATGAATTTTCTTGTTTAGTTTGGGTTAATGTAGGAAGAGCATTCCCAGCAGCGGGGAGCAGAGGGAACAGCGAGGGCAAACACCTTGAGGCAGATGTGTACTTGTCGTATTCAAAGAACGGCAACCACTGGGCTGGGGGCAACCACTGGGCTGGGGGCAACCACTGGGCTGGGGGCGGGGCAGGCAGGAAGGGAGAGAATCTAGGAAATGAAGGGGAGGGGCAGGCAGGAGCCAGAGCTGACACGTATTTACAATGGATGATTCTGGTGGGGAGCAGGCTCTATCAAAGCAAGAGACAAAGCAGGGAAGCCCGTTAGGAGGCTGTTGGAAACCCCAGGGGAGAGAGGTGGTGCTCTGGACGAGGGTGCAGTCCTACATGTGGGTAGAGATGGTCTGACCTGGGATGTAATTTGAAGGGAGAGCCCTGCCGATAATTACAATGTGGAATGTGGGAGGAAGACCACCCCCTTTTTTTAATCCTCATCTGAGGATATTTTTCTATTTATCTTCAGATAGAGTGGGAGGGAGAGAGAGAGAAACATCAATGTGAGAGGGACACATGAACTGGTTGTCCTCCAACACGACCACAACCACGGCCAGGGATGAACCGCAACTGAGGTACGTGCCCTTGGCGGGAATCGAACCCGCAACTCATTTGGTCCGTGGGCCGATGGTCTAACCGCTGAGACAAACCCGCCAGGGCGGAAGACCCCCATTTTAACAAAAAATGGGGACGAAAGGATAAAGAGTAAAATCAAGAATTTTATCTGGAACAATAATTGAGTGATGGCTGGCCTGCAACCCTCAAATGGAGATGTTGGAAGCCCGGGGAAGATCAAAGCTGTAGATAAAAATCTAGGCGTCGTCCGTTTATACATAATATTTGAAGCCTTAAGACTGGCTGAGATCACCAAGAGAATGCGTGTTGGGAGAAAGCGGAGTTGACGGAGAAGAAGGAACGGGGTCATTGGATTATTGAACATTTAGAAATTGGCTAGCAGAGAAAGACCAGCAAAGGAGACAGAGAGTGACGGCTTTGGTGGGAGGAAAAGCGAGGGTGTGGTGGCAAGGAAGCAAATGAATAAACCCTCTGCAGGGCTGAGTAACACCGACAATGTCGGCCTGACTCTGACGTTACCTCTGCCTTTGACAGTTTGGAGGTCGTTCGTGACCTTGACAAAAGTTGTTTTGGTGAAATGATAGGAACAAAAGCCAGACTGTGTGGTTGAAAAAAAAAATTAGAAAAAAGTTAGTAGATAACAGCAAATATAACTCTTACAAGAAATCTGTAAAGGAGAGGGGCACTGTGTGGGGGGTGGCGCTGCAGGGAGACAGAGGTTAAGGGAAGGTTAAGATGGGGGAGACTAGAATTTGCTTGTAAGTTGATGGAGATCTGGTAGAGGTGAGCAAGGAGACAGCTGCTGGAGCAATGTCCCGAGAGGCAAGGGATCAGAGAGAGCGGTGACACGCGTGGACTCCGGAGCCACGCAGACTTCCCGTGGCTGGGTCATTTTGAAAGTTTACTGAATTTTATTGTGCCTCAGCTGCCTCATCTGTAAAACTGGTATGATTCCAGCCTCGCAGGGCCGTTGTGGGATTACAGTAGTTGATACCCGAGGCATCAGAACTCAGCGGGCACACATGGCATCTATCGCTGCGAGGGGATGGAGCCAGGGCTACTTCCCAGGGCTTCTCGCTGCAGCGGCGCAGGTGCAGGCAGGTGGGTCGATTTGGTGGTGGGAGTATGTGAAAGTTATCTTCATTTTTCTTTTATTTTCTCAAGTAAAAAAAAAGCTGGAAAGGGAAAGAGAAATGTTGGTGATTTGAGATGAGAGGAGAAAAGTGTGAAATAGTCAGCTTGGAAAATGGGGGAGTGAATTCTGCTTAAGATGAGACAGCATGCATTTCAAGTGAGGCAGGTTAAGACAGTTGTGTGTTTTCTCCAGCCACATTCAGCTGCTTGGGTGCAGGCATGGGTGGAGGGGTGGAGTAGGCAGAGAGATTAATCAGTGGCAAATTTTGCTAAAAGAGCTCAACTGGGGAAGGGCTGGGGACAGAAGTAGTAGTTGATTGAGTGTGAGGCGAGTGATTATAAAGATGGACCAGACAAAGTGTACAAACTCTCAGCAATAAGATGAATAAGAACCGGGGTCGAATGTACAACATGGTGACTACAGTTAACAATACTGTATTATATACTTGAAAGTTATTAAGAGAGTAGATCTAAAATATTATCAGCACACAAAAAGGTAATTATGTGAAGGGATGGAAGCTAAATAACTTTAGTGTGGTAATCATTTTACAATATACATGTGTATCAAATCACAGCATACATTGACACTGTAAACTTCCATTTGTTACATGTAAATATCTTCATAGACCTAGAGGGATTCTTATTAAAAAGAGAAGCTGAGGAGGATGTTTGATAGAGAAAAAGCAATGGGGTTATTGGACTACGAAGAAAACTACCATCAAGACCATTTGATGGCTTTGCTGATCTTCCTCCTGTAGACAGAAATTGGTCATAGACTAAAAAAATTGATTTGGAAAACACGATAAAATCATTTTTAGTTACCCTTCCTCTCCACAAGCCTGAGAAGGTGTACTTGGCTGTCTAACTGACAGTATGACCCGATTCCCTGGGGATGCAAAGCCAGAGCTCTGCGCCCTGAGCTTTCAGCTCATCTTCTGACATGTCACCCCCCAAGGACGACTCCTACTTTGTCCTCAGTGTGTTAGGTTAATTCCTTCTCTTTAAAGTATACAGCTATATGAGCTGGAAATTTCACTTCTGGGTGTATATCCAAAGAAAACAACATCATTATCCCAAAGAAA